TTGGGGCAGATTCTAGACAAAATATGGACCAGACGTTGAAATCATGTTTGTTTGCCCCAGATTTGGGCCCAAGTTTGGAGGATGAATTTAAGGATGTCACATTGGCCCGCGAAAAGACCCGACGTTGATTCTCACATTCTGGACGCGCAAGTGGCCCCTTGTAAGACCCCAGTCAAAGCTAATTAGGGCAAGTAAGTTTCCAGTTTGCTTAGGGCGTTCCTCATTGGTAGAAGTCGGTTGACCTTGCAGTTGCACATTCTTAACCTAGGTGTCCTTTTTGGTTGGTTTGATTTAAAAACACAGGCCCTGGTTTACTGGTTGTACATCTGCCAGGGCCATCTATTTCCCAAACAGGACACCTACCCCCCCCCCCAACACACCCGCTTGAAACAGACTAACACAGGCCATGTTTGAGGGGGGGGTGGGGGGTGTTTGCGGGATCCTACAATCTGTTGTTCGCTTTTTTGTGTGCCGCAGTTCGCCACGCAGATTTGAAAGCATTTACTGCCCTGCCCCCGTCTGGCAGATCAGGCGCTCGCTCGCCTCACATGTACTTGTCATCTCGATCCATTTGATGAAATGCCTGCCGTCGCCTGCCCGTGTCAGTTGCCGCGCTCCACTCTGCCTTGGCAGAAAGAGAGCGGACCCAGGTGCCGAAAAGACAACAAGTTCGCTTCTGTACGTGTCTAAAAACCGGACACCGAAATGGATTTTGGTGCTCCCATTTGTTTCCCCTAAGTCAACCTAAAAAGAATGCCCTTAAACATGTCCTCGAAAAAAAGCAGACCAATTTGTCTCCACTAACCTGAAACTTCTTAACTTCCGCCCCAAAGTTAAGTGCTGTTTGTTTGTTGAAAGACCTACTCTCAGGGTCTAAATAAACAGCTCAGGGTTGTAGGGGGACTTTTGCCTCCAAATCAAGTCATGCTCATAAGAGCGACACCATGGCCAGTCTTTTGACCTTAGCCGAGGTGATTCGTTCTGGGGGCTACCACAAGTGCCCAACCTGACAAACACAAGCGCAAGCACGCGAACATGCAAATCAGCCAGCAGGCCAACAAACTGATAAATGATCAACCAACAAATCAGCCAGCCAACAAGCAAGCAGTCAGACAAACCAAACCAAACCAAGCCAAAGAAGCAGACATCCCCGACAGACTCAACGGACCAAACTCCGCGCCGAGTTCTGAGTTGCGCACCTTGGGTTTGGTGCAACGCCATGGACGGCCGGCCATGCACCGTGCAGAAGTGGCACGAAGGTCGAGGGGGATGTCACTCTCAAAATGCTTGGGCCACAAGTAGTGCCCTTTTACCCTTTTTTGGGGAGGGTTCTTCTACTAAAATAGACTACAAAAAAGGGTACCCTTATTCTATCCTCTAAAGACTCTAAAGCTGATCTTTCTTCCTTTCAGAGTTTCCAAGTGAAACGGCGTGGGGAAGCCCCCTTTTGTTGGGGGAGCCTTTTCATTCCCCACAAATCGGGTTTGAGAGCGAGAATTTCAGAGGTACCTTGTTTTGGACTGATGGACCAATCTGAATCGATATTGTGTAGAGGGAAACCCGTACAAAGCGGCGCCAAATCCTTAGCTTTGCCCATGGCGCACATCTAGAACACGAGATGTTCTGCTTTGGTTTAACATTGTGTCTAAGGCAATAGTAAAGTGATGATGAAGGAGATCAATTTAGTGGCAAACAAAAGGCCCAGGCATTTTCCGACCAAGCCCCTTGACCAGTGCGGCCGGAATGCGACTGAAAGGCCTTTGGCCTTTTGCCGGGCGGACGCTGACCACATGCAATGTCTCGATGTGGCCATGGATTTCAAGACCATAGGCGTCCTTTTGATTGGTTAGTTTGACAAGAACTAGATGGGTTCCAGGGGTAAATATGGGTTTTATTCCATCTATATACCGGGCCATTTATTTGTCCAACAGATCACCTATGTCCAAAGGGATTCCTGTTGAACCTCATGCCCACGTGTTGAAAGCACCACAATGAGTGCCAAGACGATGTTGTCCTGGGAGACAACGACATATGAGGAGGACCATTAGTGCCCATATTCTTTGTTGTTGTGGTGATATTCTTTGCTGCTCATATTGCACACTTGTTTCAATGTTTGGCAACTTGCATCCTTTTTGTAGACTGATGGCAGAAACACTTGCAGTAGAGCCCTGACGTGGTCGAGCAGCAACTTGGTTTCGACCAAGGTCTTGAGCAAGATGAAGGGTCATCCGCCGGCGTTGGGGTTTGTTTTTTGCAATGACCGAGAGTAGAATTGAGAAGATGTTAGCTGGGCAACTGGGGTCCCACGGCACTCTTGGCTGCAGTTTGGGATCTATGGGAGAAACCCTAGGGTTGTAACCCCATATGCAACTAAAGCAATGAGCGCTGAACAACTATGTTTTTGAAGGGGGGAGTGCGGATCTGCAGCCCAAATCCGACCGGCAGAAAGGGGAAGAAGTGCAATCAAGTATCGATCAACCAACAATTCCCCACACCTGTTTGGGAAGGAAAACATTTGAGACGCACATGGATGTGTCTTTTTGGTTGCTGCAAAGGGGGTTTGGAAGCCACCTAACTTTGAGGTTCCCCTTTGAGCCTGGATGTCTTGGTTAGAAAACCTAGGTGATTGGACCCACCCGATTCCGAATGCTGGGGGAGCAGTGCTACATTTCAGTTTGATTTCCAGGAGACCTGCGATGTGGACCACTTTTTCAGCTCACCGATCTTTTGGCAAAAAGAACTCACCGTTGAAGCATGAAGGGTCTGGGGAAGGATTTCTCGAGCTACTCTGGTTGGACAAATTCCTGCACCACCGAAGAAACCCTGGAACGATGATTCCCTGTAAATACAAACAATGGTTTGTGCATTTTGCTTGGATGTTAGGACTTTAACGTTTTGCCAACTACTGGGTTTTCCATTAAACCACTAAAAGTTAAACTTTTAGCAGGGGAGCAGATTTCGCAACCGAGTGAAAGTGGCGCGGTTTCGGATTTCGCAAACACAGTATTTGGCAACCAGTCCATCTTTTCCAAGATTACCCTCTGGAATTTCGTCAATGCCAGACTTCTCAAGAGGTTACAAAAGGACCACCCTGCTATGCACTGATTTTCATGTGGAAAAGGACTGCCAGCATGATGAGGGCCTGCAGATGTTCTGACTTAAGGGTGAGTATCTTTGTTCATATCTGATTGACATATGAGCAAATGAGTGCCCAAATCTAGCGACTTGGCCATTTGAACCAACGTAATGACGACATGGAAAGGTTATAGCAAGGCCGATACAAACCTCTACGGTAGAGCCACAAGTCAAAGGGCCGCTTTGGAGCTTTCGGACATGGGCCGCGCTCCAAAGGATCAACCATGTGCCAGTTTCTGAGGGTTTGTAATACAAGGACGAAATCTTGGTTGAAACCATCCACGTTTGCTGATACAGGGGAATCGAATCATAGGATTTCGGAACGGGGCGAAATGGAAATCTCGCAACCATCAGTGGGATATTATTTTTCTAAAGTTGACGAAATAGGTTTGTCTCAACATAGGGAAACCCTACAATGAGCGGTTTTACCTTGGTTTCGCTCTAACTCCACAACTATGAAGCAGAATCTGAACCAGCACCTGTCAACTGTTTTTGCTGTGTCCAAGACTGTCCAAAATGCAGGGCTTGTGTGGGGGGGGGGCTGGAATATATACTAAATGTTTGATGTACTCTGGCGTGCCAAGGTTTTCTCACAGCTGTTGCCATGGTAAACACATCCTTTTCTTTGCTCCGAGAGTTCCAGCGCATGTGAATGTTTCTGAGGGATTCCTTGAAGCTGGCAATGTCGGCGGTGGATTTGGACCTTTGAGTGGAACCTGACGTCCGGGGGTCCTGGTTTGGATTTTCCTTTTAAAGGGACCTTCTGTCAGTTTCCATGTTGTTTGGCGGGAGGGCAAACAATCCCACGACTTCGTGGATCTTGAGCCTACTTTGTGGCGGAAATGCGCACGTTCCCCTCAAAGCAATCGTGGACGACAGGATGGCTGGACTTTGTCGGGCTTTGCGGCGAGGGTGAGGTCGAATTCCGGTTTCCCTTTCACACTACCCCGTAAAAGGGGCATAAAATCAAAGACACTTCCACTTGGCTCTTTGCCTCAACCGAAACAATGCTCCAGTTCTGGGCAAATGACAAAAGCCAAGCAGGGAAGCACCAAGTGGAGCGATCATCTCCGGCAGGGGATCACGAAAGAAAGGTGGCCATTCTTCCTTCTGGGTTTCCCCTTCAAAATCGGCCAGGCAAAAATTAGAGGTCACTCGCCACTTGAGATTTTGGAGTCAAGGGTTTTCACGCCTACAAGGTACCCTGAGCGTTTCGATGCCTCTGTGGTCTGAAAAGGGGCTGTTGCGACAGTGAGTGCTGCACCTAGCCGGTTGGAGAGCAGTTATGGAGCTGGGCATATCCCAATTTGGTTTAAAAAGGGAGCTCAGGAGCTACTAGGAGTTCTGTAAGGACATGGGAGCTGCATCCTCCAAAACTTGCTCATGGGCATTGTGTCCCAGACAGCGAAAACCAACATTTTACCCATTTGAGCATCGAACTTGGGTATCGCGTATGTTCTACCTACATCGATTGTTTGGGTGTGGTTGAGCAAAATCCTGCACCAGATGACATGGATGAAGCCGGGTGAACACTGGTTGATAAACCACCTACTATCCAGAGCAGGATTCGTCCACAGGACCCAAAGATTTTGGGCCCTTCCCCCTGGAGAGACCTCTATGGACACCGAAGCAAAACCGCCAAGGAAACCTGAAGGAAACTGAAAGGGACACTTTCGGCGCCCTCAAACCAAATTGAAAGGAGTCTCCTCCCCTGCAGTTCCGAACTGAGAAAGCGGGTTGCTGATTTCTCTTCCCCTCTTGTCCGTATTGCCGCTTCACTTGGGGGAGCGGCGTAGTTTCAATCCGCCAAAGCGGGACGCTGTGAGAAAACGGGCTGCTCGTTTCCTCTTGTTCTTTTTCTCAAGGTCAATGCTGACTCTGCGCTGGGGCCCTTTCGGGCAGGGCGCTGAGCCGCTGAGTCGTTCCCGAGAGGCGGAATGGAGGTGCTTGAAAGAAACACCTGGGTCAGTCCGTTTTGAGGGACCCCCAAAACTATGGTGGTTTTTCTGTTGCTTAAGGCTCCGCAATGTGGGGAATATGGCCTTTGAATTATTCGAAGTTGACATCTTGCTGTTCACCATTCAGGAGGTGTTTAAAGGTGTGCAATCAAAATAACACATCCCGTTTGTGAGGCACCGCCCCTGCAAACCCCTCCCCCCCCTGCCCCTGCCGCAACCGCCCCATGTTTCCCCCCCGTGTTTCTCCCTCGGATCACTACCCCCGGATGGGATTTCATGAGATGAGACTTTCAACAACAGCCTGCGGTTCCTCACCAGCCCGGTGGTCAGGGCAAGCGCGAACGTAATGCGACATGTTGGTTGCTGATGTGTTTGTCTCTCCCATTCTCACCTTTCTGACAATGACTTGAGAATCATCTGACAATCACCCGACGCACGGACCATCCAAAAAGAGTAACTTAGCAACAAAAGCATTTTTGGAAAAACAAAAACAAAAAACAACACATTTTCCTGAAACAGTGCTTCGATTCAACAGGATTTTAGTTCTTGGAGAATACAGTTTTGCTGAGGATTACATTCCCTTATTAGCTTCCCAGTCCACATAGATGTCCCCTGTGGGTGTGTCGCTTCCCCCCCGCCAAAAACAACAGAAGAGACAGCAACCACAAAAGCGGTACCAACTCCAAAAGACGAGTCCATGTCAAGCCTTCGGTTGCAATATCGAAGCGAATTGGAAACGTTCCCTCGGGACGTGCTTGAAGTCCTGGAGCCCAGGTGTGAATTTTCCTGCTCCGCTTTCTTTCTGTTTGAGAGGTTGACGTTGAGATCGGATCTCAAAAAGCCCGATCAATTAATTGATGACTTGAATTGGTGGGTTGGGCAGTTGAACCCTTTTTTTTCTTGTGGAGGGAAAATGAGAAGACACTCTTGGGTAGGGGTTGACCAGTCAAAAAGTAGAACCCTCTTTGTTTTTGAGAGGATGACTTTGATCAGATCGGGCAATCTCATGGCGTACCCATACCTGCCATCGTTACGCTCCACAGACCCAGTTCAACTGGGTCGTTGGTTGATGCTCTGGTCATAGGAATGTCCCTTTGAGCAGTTGGTTTGAATAGATATAGACGGCTTCCACTGGTTTAGAATTGGGTGGCCAATTTACTGAGGAATCCCATCGAGATTGTTATCCAAAAGGTCACCTGCGGCGTTCTTGGCCCGCTAGTTGCTGGCACCAAAGTTGCGCTGGTCTGCACTTGCTGGTTCCCAGCAGGGAGTCGGGGAACGACCCAATAAACAATCCCCTAGAATTTCCTTCAAGGGGAAGTCCCTTTCGGTTCATTCCCCTGAAGGTCATTCCCTATCGCACCAGCAAGATAGATATTTTCCTCATCCGCCTCGAGCGCCTCAAGTCACAACCCTTGCGAGATACAGCGGTGCTCGGTCAGAACACAACTAGGTCCCCCAGTCGTGTCCGTTTACCCTTTTTTGGGGGGAGGGTTCCCCTACTACAATAGACTACAGAAAAAAGTTGGTACCCTTATTCTAGCCTCTCTACTGGAGAAATTAGACAAGGCCGTTGATCGGATGCCCAGATTCATCGGCCTCAAGAAGCCCCGTCTCCTTCTTTGTTTTGTTGTTTGACCGGCAACAAGTTGCAGCTGACGAGAAGGTGTGAAAAGACGAATTTAGGGAACCGGACACCGGTCTTTTGGGAAAGAGGGTAACTGTTTGCCCATCCCAGTTCCTGTTTATGGTAGGTAACCAGCCATTTCAATTTTGTTTTTGAACAGTGGGAGACCCCTTTCTTACCTATCCCTGTGCGCAACTATAGCAGGAAACCAGGTATGTTTACCAGATTTGACCATGGTTTCCCCTCACAAAAGCTGCTTTGCCAAGCACTGGAAATGGCCCAGACCATCAACTTGTCAAGCAAGAACTTGTCAAGCAAGTCGGCGAACCTTTCTTTTTCGTATGTTTGTTTTGGGGGGACCACCAAGATTGCTTTGGTTGTCCTTCTGGTTTCCCAATAAACACCACCAAACAGCCCAAAACTTAACATGGTGGAACCCATTTTGGGTTTTCCCTATTTTCGACCCACAGCCATTTAAGCCTTTCCCTTTGGTTGCCCATTCAAAACCCTTTCCGAACAAAAATCCACTTCACATGGTGGTTTCGTTTTGGTTTCCCATTTAAGACCCATCGAACAGCGTCTGGTACCAACTCAAAGCAACGCCCCCCGCGCGGAGATCTCTCAGGTCGCCTCCGTTCCAGCCATCCTGGCCATCTATGCCGGCCGCCCGGACACCTGGAGACGACCAGCGCCGCTCCGAGGACCGGTCCACCCGGCAGACGAGAACCAGGGTCTCAGCTTTTGTTTGTTCATTTCTTTATATATATAGTTTTGTTTGAGGTTGTTGTTGTTTTTTTCAATTTATGGCCGTGGGGCATACCCCATGGCTCCATATTGGGGTGGATGAACATTTGTTTGCCACCTATTTTGATGTTCACCAGGGGTACAGGGGTACAGGGTTTTCACCCACAGCCATACTATATATATATATATATGTGATTAGCCATGGTTCATATCATCATCAGGAACGTCGCGTTAGTGACCGACCTGTGGTGTTTTTGGCTCAAGTTTTGGGTTCCGTCGCGCCTCGAATGGGCGTCGCCGAACCCCTGCGTCGACCGACGGCATCTCGGGGGAGAAAGAGACCTCGGGCCGCCGCCAGGTTGGTAGGGACCAGTCGTGCGGCCTGTTGTCGACCAAGGTTGCGGGTTAACCCTTTTCTTGTTTGGTTTGTTTCCTTTTGGTTGTTGTTCTCTGGTGTGTGGGAAACCCTGATCTTTGGGACCGGGGATTGGTTTGCTTTTGGGGAACCTTTCTTTTGTGGCTTGTTTACCCCAACTTACCCATTGCCTGGGCACAGGCTCGTGCCCGAATCACAGGTTATCAGCCGTAGGACTTTCCTACGCGCTTGAGACCATCAACTACAAGCTCTATGTCGACCCCACGATCTCGAAGGAGCGTCGTGGATGAGGAGGCCATCCTAGGTGGCCTCCGCTCAGGTGAGGACCTACCGGACTATGACTACGAGGATTTCGAAGCAGGTTCGACAGGTCAGGACCGCAGGGGTGAAGATCCCGGTAGGGATACACCCAGGAGCCGTGGCAGGTACGCCGACGATGGGGACGATCGTATTTTCCGCCAGGCCACTGATGACGAGCAGACACGAAGGGTTTACTCCGATAGGAGTGGCTCTGAATCAGGTCATAGGCGTGGACGTTTTGACTTTATCAGCATGGCGATGGACATGGCCCGCCCTCATTCGGATGACCCGGAGGCCATGCCGATTCGACCTCCGAGATCTCTTGTTCCAGGTGAGTCGCAGGTTTCGGATGAGTTTGAGAATAGGCCGCAGGGACCAGGGACTATGGTTCTGGCTCCGGGAGGTATCCCGGGCCGATCCACTGGTTCTCAGAATCCAGGTCAGTTTGATGAGCACGAGGAGCGAAAGTTCTCAGACTTCGGATACGATGATCTGTTGAAATCGATCGCAGGATGGGGCAGTAGCTCAAAGCAGGGATCTGATGCCGGTAGGCCCAACCCTATTACTGCCAAATCTGAGTCTTATGATGGCGAAGGTTACAATTTTGCGGATGAGGAGGAGAGCCATTCGCGCCGAAATGCAAGCAGCCGTGCGACTGCAAGGACTAGTCCCGCCGCTGCCAAGTTTGAGGTCGATGATGATGACGAGTATGCCGCATTTGCGGATCGCCGTGATGAGGAGGAGGACCAACCACGACGAAATGCTAGGATCCGTGATGCTGCGAGGCCCAGGAGCCTCTCTCGTGGAGCCGCCAGGGACCTTCGCGTTGACAGGGATGCCCGAAGCGAGAGAGAGAGAGCCAGGGACAGTCGGGAAGTTCTTCGGGGATTGGAGGCTATCCATGACCGTGAGGGACCGGTAGGTCCCCCGGCGATTGGTGACACCCCGAATGTTCCCCCTTTTCCCAACATTACTTTTGGAGGTCCGTTAAATCAGAGAGACGTGAACTCGAACCGGGTTACTGGTTCGCCGAGGGTCACTGAGCGGGTTGCCGATGTCGTTGGGAGAGGTGCAAGAGATGGCCGGCTTGCCGATGCACTCGGAATCGAGGATCGTCCGTCGATCGCTAGCCCGTTAGGGCGAGATACCAGTGACCTTGAAACGCTAAGGTCTAGCAACGAGTTCACACCTCAATGGGGCTCGACCGCCAGGGAACGTAGTGCTTCTGCGAAGAGACCGTCACCCCTGGCCATTGAGACCGATAGGTCGAAGGCGAGGAGGGCTAGCCCCTCACCAATGGACTCAACTCCGCAGGATGAGGAGATGCCTGATCCTGCTGATGTTCACATCCACTCTACTCCCGAGTCTCGTGCGTCCCATGTTGATCCCCGTTCCGGCGATAGCCGTAGAAGGGGGTCTACCCCTAGCAGGCCATCTGGGGTTGGTGATAGTCCTGTGGATGACCCCAGAAGATATGCTAGAGCCAGTGGGGCTCCTGAGAGGATCGAGATATCGACTCCTCCAGCACTCAGGTCTCATTCTTCCGGTGAATCAGGTGACGCTAGGGCAAAGGAGGTGTTCGATTTGCACATCCAGGAGATGCTCGAGAGAGGTGAGGTTTCTGGCTCAGTCGCGAAAGCTTTCCATATTTTTGCTGACCAGATCAGGTTACTGAACGGTCAAGTGAGTTCCATGCGAAGGGAATGGAGCGACGAGAATCAACAGACGAAGGACAAGGTCGATCGACTGGCAGCTGAGGTTGCGACTCAATCTGATGCCGGGAGGATGCGAATGATAGTTCAACGGTTCGCAAGGGAAGTTATTCCCGATAGCAAGGCCATTGTGAGGCAAGCCATCGATGAGCAAGCCGAGGTCGTGGAGCAGAGGATTAACCTACTGTCCCACGAGGTCCATGAATCTGTCAAGGACAATGAGGCATCGACTGATCGGCTTCGCCTGATGATTCAGGAGAATAGTGAGGCTGCCCGCAGAAGCCATGCTGCTTCTGAGGACGAGATCCTTAAGGATTTGGACAAGCTTGAGAAACGGATGTTCTCGGTAGAGAAAACCGTTGGGATGCGGACACCAGCAGGTGTATGGAACCCGAATCCTGTCGCGCATCCGTCCGATAGGGCCAGCGGCAGTGTAGTGGATGCAAATTTCAGGGAGTTAAACCTGAAGATCGAGAAAGCTCTCCTTGAACACGAGACATTTGCCAAGTGGGCCTCTGAATCTATTGAAGGGATCAAAGAAGAGCACACTCGTCTTGTTAATCGAGTGTCGAGACTGCAGAGTGGAAGGGGTTCTCAGGAGGTCGATAGACCATCAGAACATGATTCCCCGCAGGACTGGCATGAGGCTATTGACGAGATCAATCGGAAGATGCAGGATCTGGCTCGAGGAATTCAACGTCAACGTCGGGATCATGACGACATCATTTCAAGGTTTGAGACCGTGAAGTCACATGTTGAACAGTATGAAGCGAGATCGGCAATTGTGAATCGGGTCGTTGATGGCATCCAAGGACAGATCCGTAATCTTCCTGCAAGCAGTGACCAAGTGCAGCCTGCCGTTAGGCGAGAACTCGGCACATTCCGGAGTACACTTGAAGGTGTTATGCGGAGAGTCAGCGCTATCGATGGCAACGTGCGTAACCTTAGCGCCGCGAACAACAGAATCATGTCCCAGCTCTTTGAGATGGAGGGTCAATTTGACGAGGCTGCTGGCATTATTCAGGGTGTCCAGCAGATTAATGAAGCTCCTCCACAACCCAGAGAAAGACGGAATGTTGGTTACCATGCATTTGCGGGGCAAGGACATAGGATCAGGTCACCGACGCCTACACCAGGGGAAGGTGACGGCCGGGGTACTGGCCTGCCGGTGAGACCAGGCGGAGGCGTTGTTTTGCCTGATCATGTTTTGCCGAATGTGCCCGATAGGGTCGATCCTTCTCGCGCAGACAGGCATCCCATCTATCCCGTTAGGGAGAGGTCCGACAGCAGGAGCAGGAGGGTTCGGGGGTTGCCTGACAGGTCGCATTCGCCACCGGAGCGTGCAAGGGGTGGTCCCCGCGCGCGCGCAAGGGGGGACGTTTCTATTTCCCCCAATAGAGATGCGGGTAGGAATAGGAGCCCGAGGCCTGCCGTCCCCGATAGGGGATCTGAGGTCCGGAGTCGACAATCGAGGGGGGAGAGGCCGATCCGCGATAGCGGGAGCGTCTCTCCGAGTTTTGATAGGCCAGTCCGCGATAGCGGGAACGTCTCTCCGAACCCAGGTCGTCATTCAGGAGGTGGTGGGGGTAATAGGGTTCATGCCGACATCCAGAGTCCTGGTGATGAGTGGAGGACTCCTGGGAGTAGAGCCAGCGCCGACACCCAGAGTCCCGGCGATAGGCGAGGGACCGCTGGAGATCTGTCGGATCGTGGACAGGCCTCAGCGCCGGCTGCAAGAGGGGCTCCCGGCGGCGATGGCCCAGACGCGCCAAAGATTTGTGCCCTCGATGATCCCAACGACCGTAGGCACCCGAACGCTGAATTCTCGTGTGTGACATGCAGTCGTGAGTTCTGCGGGCCTTGCCGTGGTGACGACGGGGACTGTTACAATTGTCAGTTCTTGAAAATGAAATGCTGGGCATGTCGCAAGAATGCTCAGGAGGTCTCCATGTATTTCTGCACGGATTGTGGGACTCACGTCTGTGAGAATCACAGCTACTTTGGAAGTGACGGCCTTGAGCGATGTGCGCGCTGCAATATTCGGCATGAGCGCGCGCAAGCTGGACCGCCCCCTCCTCCTCCTCCCGGGGGAGGTGGTGGGCAAGGCGGACCACCTGGTCAAGGTGGGAGCGGAAGTGGTGGTCATGGACATGCCCCAGCTCCACCACCAGGTCCTGGGCATTATGGTGGAGGCCAAGGTCCCGCTGGGCCTTCTGGAGGCCCGAATGGAGGAGTGTGGTTCCAGTTTCTATGGTCCTGCCTACGGAGGTGGCGTTAGTCACCAAGGGGTTGGCGCTGGCGTTAGTCAGTCTAGCAATGCTGCAGGTTACCCCTCAAGTGTTGCGAGCGGTGGTAACCTTGGGCCAGGTCTTAGCCTCGGCTATAGTGTGAATGGTGCCGGTAGGCAGGGAGATGGTGGTCTTCTCCCTGAAGCCTTGAGGGGAGATGATGGACGGGACAGGTGCACTAAGTGTAGCAGGATCCCTGAGCCTGGTTTCCCTCTTGTTCCTTGCGTTGGTTGTGGAATGAGGGC